ACATCTTTGAATCTTTTAAGCTTTAGAGTGAATTCAGATTTCGTGAACGGTTTTTAAATGTGCAGTTTTATTCAATGTTTGATGTAAGCTCAATCGAAACATGAAGAGAGGGAGGGACATAGTGTAGCTCCTCCTCTTTATAAAAAACAACAGCCAATAGTGTTTTGTTTTATTACCACTCTGCCATTGAGAATGATTGACCTCGAGTGCATCAAATAAAAAGCAATTTAAAAGCATCTTGAAGGGGTGGGGCATCTCAGAAACTAGAAAGCATTTGATTGGTCATGATTTGATGAGAAACAGAAGTATGAGGTGATGTGAATAAAACCGTTGATCCATTTAGGTGGAGGTGACAAACTACAAGCTTTACATGTTTATGTCAGTTTTATATCTTCTAAATGCAAATTTTGTCACTGTTTTGGAGCACACTAGCTTATAGCTATCTTAAAAACTAACAATACTAATACAAAACTTGGACTGTTCAAAATCGCATATTTCCATACTATCCAGTATGCTAAAAACAGTATGCAAGCCAAGTAGTAAGTGCGAGTTTATAGAATTTGAAAAACAGAATTACCCGAATGACTTACTACTTCCAGTGAGATTCTGAAGTGCACATCCGATGAACGCTATGCTTTACCATGGTGCCAAGGAAGAGCATTCATGAATGGGAGTGAAGTGACGCAACTGCATGGAACCTTTAATTCCTTAATCATCATTTAATAGCCACGTTAAAGATAAGCCATTTAAGTATGTAAACTAAAGTGAGTATTGACAAGTACAATCTTCCCAAACTCAAAATTGGTCATCCGATTTTGATTCACACACGAGTAAGAAGTGCAACCAGTAAGAGCACACACACAGTGAGCATATACCCAGAGCAGTGGGGCACCTACTGTATAGAAACTGAAACTTTTCCCAGGATCAGAAAAGCCAATCTGCAGCTGTTCGATCACAAGTAGGGCTGTGCGATTTGGGGAAAATATCTAATTGTAGTTTTTTTCTTTTTACCCATTTTGCGATTTTGATTTGATTTGTGATTTTAATTTTGTAACGTTAGTTAAGCTTCAGCTCAATATTCTGTATCATAGTTTCTTACTGCTAAAATGCAGTGAGTGTTAGTCAAAAAAATAAACTGAAAAGATATTAACTAACTCCAACGTTTATTTAAATTATTAAAATTTAAACACACATTTTTCTTTAGAGCAAACAGTGGTGAGTTATGGCGTTAGTTATCTCCTGGTGCCTGTGATGCTTTTTTAGGTGCAGGTTGTTGTATTTCCTGCTGTGGCAACAATTCTGCGACAGCTCTTACAAATGACCTGTTTTTGTTCGGTGTCTGTGACTTTGAAACTAAAATATCCCCTTATTACCGACTAGGCATGGACCGGTATAAGAGTTTGACGCTATGATAACCTTGGATAAAAATATCATGGTTTCACAGTATTGTGATTACTGCTCTAAAACACATATTTTTTTATGTCTTGGTAAAAATTACTACTTTTTCCGCTTTGAAAACAATATACTTTATTTTGAGAGACATTTAAAATATTTTGGAGCAGCAAACATGTCAGGCTGAATTTAAATCAATCATTGACTTCTGATGTCTTCATTTGTTTCAAAAACACAGATTTCTTTACAATTTAAAATGGCATCAATGGATATTTTTTTCTGTTTTTTATATTGCAGCCTTTTGCAATTAGCTAATTCAATTTCGATTAACCGCACAGCCCTAATCACAAGTTCAACTTTCTAACCATTTGGTAATTTTTATGCATTTAACACAAACAAATGTTTACTATTAGGGAAGAATAATGTATCTTTATATATTATATTGTTTCAACGTTTATGTCTTTAGCAGTAATCTTAGAAACAACAGGAAAAAAGCAACATAATATTGATTTATTTGAAGAGGTGCTGGTGGATCATATTCATAGTTTACTGGATAACCATAAGCACAAACTTTCAACATACTATATTGTGTTATTATATTTATTTACATAAGACTCTAAAAATAATTTCTTACACTGAAAAAAATTTTTTAAAGATCATTCCTTGGATTTACAAATTTTTTTTTAAGGTTAGTGGTTGTAAAAAAAAATATTTGGGCTGAATTTAAACAAGCAAATTGAGTTGAACATTACTAAATTTAATTTGTTTGAATTATATTGCAATATCTTAATTTAACAATGTATCGTTACAACTCCAAAGTAAGGTAACATGTAAGTGGTAAGGAAATTTATATTTTTAGGTAAACTGTCTCATTAAATTCTATAGACTGTATTGATCTGAATATATGAGTGAGAGATAATAGTTTTATTAATCCTATTCTTTACTTGACCTTATCATTGCAGTGCAAAACAGCTCTTTCATTACAAGCATGTGTTTCTCGTCACAGAAATAAGGAGAATAAAAATGTCACACCTTTTGATTTTCGTTGAAAAAACTTTCATGGAAACCTAGAAAGTCGTGGAAGGTCTTGTTTTTCACAGTTTTTACTTACAGCTCCTTTAAATGTCCAACTAAGATGTTTGAGTTGGGTACCAGGAACAGACCACACAGACCAAGAACAACGAAGCATTGGGACTGTAGTTTTTCCTGGCAACAGCATCACATTCTAAAGTGTCAGAAGTGGCACTATCTTGACATTCAATCTGAAAAATTACTGCCACGATTGTTTTAAATAATGCCACTAGCAATGTGACTGTACAGCTGCTAACTCAACTGTGTGCAATACACTTAAATGTCTATCAATAACTGCTAAACCAAAGTATAAACTCGTATTATTAATATTAATATTTTATTTAATTTACAATACAGGTTACACACTTTGAAGTGAAGGACACACTTTAGTTTAAGACACAATTCTTGCAATAGATAACCCATTAGTTGGGATTTTTGCCCTAGTAAATTCCTAATTTGCAATTTATTGATAATTATGAAGGTAGGGTTTAGGTATTAGGATAAAATATGAACTATTTACTAAAGATTATACCTAAGAAACAGATAATATGTTTCAATAATATGTAGCTAATAAGCCATTGGTTAATAGTGAAAATTGTTAGCCTACTTAAACTAGAGTGTTACTAAAATAAAGGTTCCATGAATGCACTATTTAACCACTTTCACAGAACATTTCTTAATTTCACTTATTTTATTTATAACCTTAAGAAATACTTCACTGTATAGACATTTTACAAGATATTGTACTTGTTGTTTAACAAGAGATGGACTACAATGAATGAGTAAGACAGGTCTAATTAAAATCATAAAAAATATTCAGTCTTCAAAGTTCCGGTTTCCTTTGTGAAATGTCTCATAATGTGTCAGCATGACATGCTTTTTAAAAAAATAAAAAATAAAAAATTCTACAGTAGACAGAATAATTTACATTCAAGCTCATAATCCACCTCAGGAATGACTGTAAATACTGAAAAATTCCAAAGAAGACACACACTGCTACAAATATTTATAAAAATCGAATTATTGTGGTCACATGGGTTTGTTTCTTATTTGTTCAAGAAGGTTGAACTTTATCGCTTATCACACACTAATGAAATAATGTGGCATTCTGTGCAGACTGTCTCTAACTGTACTGCTTAGGACTCTTTTATGACATAATAATAATAGTGCATGAAATGTCTGGTTCTGTGTTTTGAATTATAGCTAGGATGAACTATATGCATAATGGCAGCCTGTAAAAAGTCAAATGTCTCCTATATTGCACAACCAACTTTAATTTAAAGAGTTATTCCATTTTTTTTAATACAAAACATTAAGCTTTGTTGGTATGAATGACCATACCTATGAATGTAGGTTTTAAATGATATTTTTGACTTTATAATAACTTCATTATGAAAGTTCATGTGAAAAAAGTCTCTTCTCAGCTCACCAAGGCTGCATTTTTTTTGAAAAGAAAAGAAATATTGTAAAATATATATTTAAAATGCTATCACTGTCAATCTTTGAAGAACGGTAAGTTAAACAGAATGTATTTGAAATAAAATCTTGTCAGTTAATATCTATGCAGTGAGTTTTGATAAATTTAATGCGTCCTTGATGAGTACTCAATTTTTTTTTACATTTTTTAAAATAGTAATTTCACAGTTTTAACAACAACAACAACAATAATAAAATAAAACAATCAAATAAATAAATACAGCTTTTTATGAACAGCAAATAATCCTATTAAAATGATTTCCGAAGGATTATGACATTGGAGCAACAACTGATGAAAGTTCATCTTTAAATCACAAAAGTTGCAAATAGGCCTATATTCACACTGAAATATATATATATATATATATATATATATATATATATATATATATATATATATATATATATAAAATCTTAAATAATTTTAATTCAAATGACTGTTTATTGTTTTTTGAACTAATAATTGAAGCCTCTGTGAACAAAAGTAACTTCTTAGTGTAGTGTAGAAACTGGTAAAGTAGATGTTTTGGAGTAGACATTGCCTTTTTTCAGTGCAGTTGCTGTTTAAAATTTGACAGGTGGAAATTAACAAGTCTATCTAAGTTTATTTGCAGCACTTTATGATTGCACTTTATAATTTTAACCATTTTATGATCATTTTATGAATAATTTACATACCCCACTGGATCTTGATAAAACTAAACCACTTTAGACCTATAGCAGTACTGCAAAACACTGTTAAAACAACCTTCCAATAGGAACACAAGACATAATTTGCAATAAAATAAATAAATTAAACAATAAATAAATAAATTAATTAATTAATTTGGGAAAGTCGTAACACCAAAGAAAACTAAAAACGCAAAAGCTATGTTCTGTTTTATTAACGTTTATAAATTTGATAAAAAATATGCTAAATGAAATCAAATAACTTTAAAGATTTGCTAAAATAAAGACACACTTGATGTTGTCAATGAAATGTAGGACAAGGGTGCCTATTGCAAGAACACCTCAAAATGTTTGTATTAAGCGAGGTTTCAATGAATAAAAAATATACTTACCTATGGGTAGCGCGAGGAAAAATGGTAACCAGCACAGGATGAACATGCCCACAACAACACCAAGCGTTTTAGCAGCTTTCTTTTCTCGGGAAAACTTAAGTAATTTGACTGTCAGCGAGCTCCTTAAGTGGCCTTTGCTGCAGTCTTCCTGCGTCTGAGAGCCTTTATAATGAATCCGGAGCGTCAGCTCGTTGGAGTCCATGCGCTCCTTCATCACTCCGGCCTCCAGGTTTTTCGTGGTTCTTTTGGCAACTATGTAGACGCGGCAGTACATGGCCAGAATCACCGCTAACGGGATGTAGAAGGAGCCCAGAGAGGAGAAGAGCGCGTAAAACGGCTCCTCTGTGATGAGGCAAACTGTGTCATCCTCTGAAGGGGGTTCTTTCCACCCGAGCAGGGGTCCTATAGAGATGACGAAGGCGAGAACCCAAACACCCAGCATGGCCAAGAGTGCCCGCTTCTCGGTCACAATGCTCGGGTACTGCAGCGGGTAGCGCACCCCGATGTAGCGGTCGATGGAGATCACGCACAGGCTCATGATGGACGCGGTGCAGCACAGCACGTCCACTGCAGCCCAGATGTCACAGAAGATCCTCCCGAACACCCAGTAGTTGAGGATTTCACGCGTGGCAGACACCGGCAGGACAGTTGTGCTCAGCAACAGGTCTGCCATCGCCAAATTAATGATGAAGTAGTTGGTCGGGATGCGCAGGTGCCTGTTGCACACTACAGACAGAATAACGAGGATGTTGCCCACGATAGCAAACACAATAAAAGCGCCCAGAACCATGCCCAGTGGAAGCGCGCGGCTGAGGCTGAACGAGCTCGGCGCGGTCCCATTTCCAGAGGAATTAGAATTGGAGACGTCGGACAGTTCGGAGGACGCATTGCTTAAGAAGTTCGCGGCATGATCTGTATCAGAACTCATCTTGCCTCTGCAGTGCCTCCATACCAAAGTAAGCGCAGGTTTCACCTTCAAATGCGTAAATGATGTTGTATACCAAACAGACAGTAAAGACCAAGGCTTCAAAGGATCCGTAAGTTCTGTTGCGCAACAAGCGCGAAATAGAAAAAGAGCATAATTGTAAACGTTGCAAAAAGGCCAGTTGGAGATGCCCGTGTCCGGAACTTGGTGGTGTGAGTTCTCCGCAGTGTCTCTACCGGTGTTCCCGGCTGATCCAGCGCACTGTCTCTGACCACTCCTGCATTCGCCAAACTCCCTCCCCTATGGAGACTACAGGCAATCAGACCAAGCGGAGCGGTGCGCATTTACGGACTATTAACCTGTGCTTCTGTGGCAAGCCGTTGTAATCTTTATTTCTTAAAACTTGTCACTATCTGTATTGTTTCTTTATTGTAAATAACTACTTACTAACTTTTCTGTCTCACAACTAAATATTCATTATAAAATAGAAACTTGTATTTTGGAACAAATAGGTAAACTTAACATTTAAACATACTCTGGGATTTCATAAAATACATGAAGATCAGAAATGAACAAAACAACTTGTATGGCATAAAAGAATTTACCAAGCATCCAAACCAATGCTATATGTTAAGCTGAATAACCTGTATGTTCATACATGTGGTGTCATGTTTATTAGTTGAGAACTCATAAAAAGCTTATAAACTGTGTAAATAAGACATATTTCCTCCATCACACATCTGTACAAATAGAGATCTGCTGGAAGGAGGCATGTCATGTGTAATCTGTAATGGGCAACCAGGTTCCAAAAAGGTTATTTCACAGTGATTTAAAAAAAAAAAAAACATTGTTGGTTCCCTAAACCAAAAGAACCACATTTTCTTACTTTAAAGATTCTTTTTTTTATTATATTAAGAACCTTTTATGCAATCGAAAGTTTCTGTAGATGTTAGAGGCTTTTCGTGGAACCATCAATGCTAATTAAGAACCTTTTAAAGAACATGTCTCTGCCCCTTCAAGATGCTTCTCATCTGCCCTTTTTTTGATGTGCTTGAGCTCAACCACTCTCACTGACAGAGCGCTGATAAAACCACACGCTATTGGCTATTTTTTATAAAGGGGAGGAGCTACTACAGTATATGTTATTCCCTGTCTTCATGTTTCAGTTGAGATTATGTCAAACTGAATAAAAAATGCACATTTCAAAGCACTCCATGGGACCTTTAAAAGGTAAGCTTGAGCATTCTGTCCTTTTGCATCGTTTCCTGTTTTTAATTAATTTAGATGTCTTTGGTTCGTGTAGTGTTCATATTTCAGTCAAAACTGGAGGTGGTCAGAGATTCAAAGATCTCTTGGCCATTTTGTGTGTTCACTTGGAAGGTTTGGTTCTGTCTCTGGTGTGAATTTACTGCTAGTAAGGTCCATTTTAATGTCTAGACATTGCCAATACCGAACTCTGGTGCACACCAAACAAGTGGACAAAGCTGAAAAGACGAGACTTTAACTTCCAAACACACTCTGCTGTAATTTGTCTGAAATCTGAATGCAATATGGATCAAGGACATCTATATAAACCGAAAATAGGATGTGATGTTGGAAGATGTGTGTAGCTAGAAATCACATGTGGTGTCTCCAAACCTGAAAAGCTGATAAATTAGGGTGTGACTAACCAGGTTTCCATCCTAACATGAAATGATTCTTTTCAAAGTTTGTTAAAAAAAAATCCCTGAGTAGTTTAAGCATTTAACTATAGTATTGGTAATTAGTAACCAACAGTAAACAAGGCAAGCATCAGGAAACAACTAATGGACCCATTTCACATTTCCGGTATTTTCAGTAGCGGAAGTCGTCATAGTTGGGTAAACCTAGCGAAGTGAATGGGAAAGTACAACAAATAATTATTTTTACAATCTAATTTGCTGAAATAATGAAAGAAAGACTCAACAATGGTGTTACCAATGGTGTTACCAAGAATCACAAAAAAGAAAAAAAAATTGTGAGGCTCATAACGGCGGCTAAAAGACAGAAGCCCCCAAGGACACTGCATTAGAACCACTTCGCACAAGCAGTAATTAATTTTTCTTGTAATTTGATGCAAAGATGATGTAATACATACATTTAAATGTTCATACATTTAAAAAATCTAATCATCAAAAACTTTTAAGGATTTAAGATAATGATGACAATTCAACGCGTCATAACACGCTTGTGAAAAGGGTTCATTAGTCATTTGGGTGTAATGCTCGCTATATTAGAATTAATTCAGGACATGTGTTTCTATCTCCCATTATTTGCATTTATCATTTTTCACTAGTCCAAAACCATATAAAGAGAAACCACAAAATCTTTTAGATAAATTTTTTGAAAAGCCAATGTAATATTCAAAATGAACCACACTATATAGACTCTGGGTTGCTTTAACTCAAATTTGGGTAATAGAGCAAAATGACACGTTTAGAAATGTAAGGAAAATCTGTTTACTGGTACTGCAATGTAATAAACATGTAACTTTAAATAGGTCTAATATACCTCAGAAACATTTGGGTTTCATTTTATCTTGATGGTCTCTCTTAGACATTCTGCAGAGTGTAAGTTATTTTGCAACCACATGATGATTAATACTAATTACATTAGTAAACCATTAGATTAGAGTCAGCAAAAGTTAATATACTTGCAAGGACCCTAATAATAATCTATAGAATGTCTGTTGAGGGAGCTTCAAAATAAAATAATAGTAGATATTAAGTGTATATATATATATATATATATATATATGCAAATATAAATGTCTGTTTTTAAAAAGCAGAAAAGGGGAATTAATTAGTCTACTAATTGGAGGATATTCCAGTGTTTCCAATAGTGCTGAAAATTCTGTTGACAATTTTAGACAAGTGATCCTCTCTTTTAAATGACTTTAATGCATAAATGTACTGAAGTAATGGAAAAAGAAGTTAGCCACACTTGCATGATTTTAAGTAATCTAAATTAAATGCTTACAACAAACAAAGATACTACTTAACTTTAAGGAATGAACTGTACTATTTTCCCATCATGGTGACAAATATAAATTATAATACTAGGGCCACTTAAGCCCCCCAGTGTGCTGTCAGGTAATGCAATACAACGTCAACAGGACAGAATGCCAGCGGTCATACCAGCTGCGCTATTCTTAGGATCAATCGCAATTTAAAATATGGAAAACTTGCAAACAATATCAAGGTTGTTGATGCAGGGTACAGTAGGTGCAAATTTAAGTCTCACTGTTACTGTGCAGTTATACAATACCAAAAATTGCCAGACATGGCAAGTTTGTATAAATGTTTATTTTTAGCTCTTAAGTAGCACTTTCAGGCCTAGAACACATTTTCGTGTGTCTGGTTTCACTGTAGATCACAAAAATACTTAGCAAAGTCACTGGCAAATGCCTCCACGCTTTGCCATCTTTAAAGACTGCCATGAGTGTCCAAATATTTCCTCAAATCATCTGTAATTTTATAAACTAGCCACTAACTCAATCTCTTTCCAAATGCCAGCCAAACAGGAATATGCTTTGACATTGATGAAGTACTTAATGGCTTGCGCCAAAAAAACAAAAACAGAAAGCAGATAACTCAAACAGATGGATGAAAACCCCCAAAAGTCAACTAATTTAAACAGAAATCACAGTAAATTACAGCTAGCGAGAGCTGCGAAAGAGGAAACAAGCTTGCTGTCAGACAGGAATCTCCTCTTTGGGCTGAAATTAAATTAAAGTCTTGCGATTAAAAATTCAGAGCACAGACTCTAAGACTTTACAGAGGCATAATAGTGACCCAAAGCTTAAAGTGCACTTATGCTTTTTCAGAAAGTAGCTGTTTCAGATATTCAAATAAATCTGTTTTCTTACAGAAAAAATCAATCCGGATTGTTGAAAGGAGTCCCAATTGCATGTAGTTTCACTTCTGTAACGGATTTATGTAAATATTATCTGTTAATTAACATTGGTTCCGTAAAGATGTTTTCTGTTTATTATTGGATATTAATTGCATTATGGGAGCTTGATCTCTGCTGTCGACTTTTGATGCAAAGAATTCAACTCTGTTGTTAAACAAAGTGACTTTTATTGACATTTTAGTAGTAAGTTAAAACAATATAGTTTGTAGTAAATGATAAATATAGAAATAAGTCCCTAAAATAACAGAGTTGGTACTCGCACTTTATTTTTCAACACTAAAACAGATAATATATCACTTCAAATTTTTAAAAACGTTAGTTCATCAAACAGGAAAGATTAAGGTCATATAATGCAATTCAGTAGCATTAAAACATGATTCACAAAATACAGAAAAATTTCAGCAAATTTTTTAAAAGTGTATGTAGACTAGAAATACTGTCACAAAACGGGGGTTTAGAAGTGATGCTAAAGAAGAACTATTTTTAGTTCCATAAAGAGCATTCTCACACACACACAAAAATATTTAATTTGTGATATAACATTTCTATTTTTGAATATTATTTAGGATTGATTGTATGCGAATTGAGAAGCCGATAAAAATTTTATATCTCAACTGAATGGGCATTATTAGTGGTAATCAGCTGATAGAGATGGGTCAGTAGGGGCCTTCTGTGCCTAGTGGTAAGGCTGTTCTCATCCATGCTCATGGTTAATCAGCTATAGATCACATACGGTTGGGGCTGGAAGTTAACGAGACTTATTTATATTATTTATAAAATTTCCCATTAAATATATTTATTAACGTCAACCCCTTCCTCAACCCTAAACCCAACCTTCACAGTGATGTAAACACAGATCTGGATCTGGAGTCTTCTCTATTTGTATAGCTGATTAATCATGTGGATGGATGATAACAGCCATCTGAGCCTACTAGTAGGCACAGAAGGCCCCTACTGGCCCATATCTATCAGCTGATAACCACTGATAACGGCCATTCAATCGAGTGATAACATTCGATGCAGGTGAATTGAAGGGCCACAAAAGACTTGTTTTTGGAATGGAATGGTAAAGGTTTGTCATGAAACCATCAATGCCATTTATTTTTGTGCACTTTTATTTTTGAGTGTACATTCACAACATTTAGTATGTGTTGTTGATAGGCCTGTCACAATAATCAACATATTGACTTATCGTGCGATGCTTGGGAATGACCTCAATAATTTTTGCCGTTGCAATATACATTTACAAATTCACAAATAACGTTAAAGCCATTTTACAATGATATTTATGTTCTACCTCACCGGTGTCAAAGTTTATAATTGGGCATTTACCTACTAGGACATTTAAGAGTATATATAAAAAGAGATTTATCGTTTTAACACCAAATTATCTAAATAACCTTAAGATTGAAAAGTATTTTAATGTGCTTATGGCTATTTGCATTATTATGCTGTTACATAATCATGATATAATCAACGGCATAAAATGATCTCAAAATGACAATTATAGCGCTTGTCGCAACAATTTGTGGATCTGTTGAACTGCATCCCAATCATCACAAATACTGCTGAAACCCACATGGACCAATATTCTTACAGAAATCAGTCAAGATTGAAAATTATGATTTGGGGTTACAATCAGTATATTGGGGGGTCTTCAAGTGAACACAGCTGCTGCGCTCGTGCATCCAGGTTAGTCATGAACAACTCAGTGCGCATGCGCTAATGGCACTATCGCGGTCTGATTATGTTTCAATCAAGGTTTATATGCATAAAATACATAACATCTGTGCCAAACATTTCAACTGACGAACATATTAACAATAATACAACCGTATAGCTGAATTAAATGCATTGGCATGTTACAGCCCTAATGAGTATGATTATGTAAAACTCCATATAGATACATATTGCAATGATTTCGGGTACTTAGCGATGCACGCACACATATATGCACAATCCTTAAATGCTCTGCTGATTTGGACTATATAATACCTATTTTATAAGTTTAACTATCAACAACCACCACTGAGCTATATGCTAGTGATTGTTCTTCCCGCTCCTGGTGGATTTTGGCATGGTCTATTTCCGTGAGATGGCGGGGGTGAGTGGAAGAAACCAAGTCGCGGGGGAAATATTTTCTACAGAAATAATTTATGATTTCTTATGTGGCCCGGTACCAATTGTTCCAG